CATGGAGTTAATTTCCATTTTCTTAAGGTGAGGTTTTTCTGGAATTAATCTTTATTTTTAAAAATATGTAAATGAATTAAAATATGACTTTATGGATGAATTTAAAATATAATTATATAGAATTATTTTGGAAAAAGTTTGATAACACTGTAATGTGACATAGTAGTTGAAGCAAACCTAACAATGTCATCATTACGACGGTTGTGAAAACTTGAGACACAAACTTCTTCATTGGGTGTAAAATGTTGACCAAATTAAAACCCATGTTTTTTATTTTATTTGTGTGAATAATTTTTTATTTAAGAATTAAAAATAAAATTCACTTAATATAAAATTTTAAAAATAATTATAAATATTTCATTTCATTTAAAACATAACTAAATTTAACAACCCTTTCAGTGGTCCAAAAAGAAAAACTGTGGTAGGGCACATTCCCACACGACAAAGCAGTGCTGACGTGGTAGTTGTTGTAACATGAATTTGTCTGGCGTGGCACAGAGTGACTGTAGTATGAAGAGGATCCAGCTGGCATCTGACAGTAAAACAGAGACTATTATAATAATAATAATAATAATTCTACCCATTTTGAATATAGAAAAGTCTAACAATTTTGTACTTATTTCTCTTTATTTTTTCACAAATCTGAAAAATGTATAAATTTTAATTTCACACAGAAAAAACCTAAAAAAATACTTTAGATTAGTTTCTATATTAAGAGGCTAAATTTATACATAAAAATGTCAAGATAAGTATAAAATTTTTAGATGAGAAGGAATAATACACAAAATAATTTTTTTTATAACAAAAATTTGTGAGCAAACTATCTCAAATATGTTCATAATATAAAAAATGCTTTTAATTAGTTCTCAATTTGTGGTAAGAAGAAATATTGTGGAAGCTACCAATAAATAGAATGATACTTTTCTCTCTTACTTGTTGATTCATTCTTCCATGGCCAGCTGGCTTTAGCCATGAAACAATGCACACACACTTCAATGTCTATCCATTTTTTATGCATTCATAGAGACTTGTACCAAACCCTAACCCTAATATTCCATATTCTATAATCATCTTTTTCTATTACCCTTTTTCATACTTCAAGAAATTTTCTATTCCATCATGTGTTTCAAATTTCTTACTATTCCATCTACTCACTATATGCTGGTGTGAGCTGTACTTGACAAAACCTT